CCGTAGTCATATGGAAACACAAAGCTCTTGTGGAGGGTAGGTATACCAGCAACATGGAAGTATTTGAACGAGTGTTTTGGGCATTTGGTCCTTGTATTGATGGTTTCAAACATTGTATGCCTGTTATCTGTATCGATGGGACGCACTTGTACGGGAAGTATAAAGGAACACATTTGGTTGCTACATGTGTGGATGGAAACTTCCAAGTATTTCCACTGGCATTTTCGTTGGTTGAGGGGGAAAACATTTCCAGCTGGTCTTGGTTTATGAGCTGCCTTCGAGATAAAGTTACGCAACAAGATGGCCTATGTGTTATATCTGATCGACATGTAGGGATCATTGCAGCAATGAATGATCCTAACATTGGATTCACTCAACCCCGAGCCTATCACAGGTTTTGTGTTCGTCACTTGGCTTCAAACTTGAAATCTCACGTGCGAAGCACCATCACGAGAGATACGTTCAAGGCTGCTGCGTACCAAAGACAAGAAAGAAAACTGCAAGCTGATTTGTTTTCGATTGGTCAGACATGTACAAAATCGTTACAGTATATTGCCCAAGTGCCGTTTCCTACGTGGTCTTTGTTTCACGACGCTGGTCGCAGACATGGGATATGTACAACAAACTTCTCTGAGACATTTAACAATGTTTTGAAAGGTGCTCGGTTCATGCCAGTTATGTCCCTTGTTGAGTTAACTTTCCACAGAGTTAACAGGTACTTCACCTTAAGAAGAGAATCTGCCGAGTCCAGGGCCGAACAGGGACTTGCATATCCCCCAAAGGTCACTGCTATTTTGGAGAAGAACACAACAAAAGAAAGATACCACAAGGTGGATGCCTATAACCGTCGGTTGCACATTTACCAAGTGACGACACATAGGGGGGAGCGAGTTGATAGAAAGGGAGGTCATAGACACACTGTTAACTTCTAGTTGAGAACCTGTACATGCAACAAACCCTTGATATTCCACCTTCCATGCTCTCATGTTCTAGCAGAGTGTGCGACTTATTCACTATCAGACAGGTCGTGGGTGGACCATTTCCTGCAATCGGATGCGTATATGAACACGTATGCACCACAGTTCTGGCCTATTCCATGTGAGACCACTTGGATGCAGTACACAGGACCTAGAATCATCCCGGACGCCGACATGGTAAGAGGAAAAGGTCGGCCAAAGTCAAAGCGCATACGCAATGAAATGGATGACGCTAACCGACCTAGGACTAAATGCAGCCGCTGTCACCAACAAGGTCACAACCGCAAAACGTGCCCAGCTAGATCAACCGAAACATAAGCTTGGTTTTGTTTTTACCCGATAGTAGTAGCACAACAGATTCATGTAGTAGGTGATTGTTGACGTTATGTAACATTTGTAACACTTGGATTATATTTGAGATTTGGTGACCTATTTTTCGACTTTGCCTTTTACCTGTGACAGTCATGTTAAATTCATTGGATAGTAATTCTGTTTTTTAATTGGTTTGGCCATATTGTTTTGAATGAACAAATATCATGGCCGGTCACGATCGAATTCCAGGACCACATGACCCTTCTGCCCTTACACTGCAGGATAGACATCGGAGTGTTGACATATGGAAGCAGACGGTAATTTCTCACGTGCCATTTTATGTACAGATTTGTCTTGTTTTTTTGTATACTTGACCCTTATTTACGGTTTTTAAATGAATTACCAGGTGGACATAGCGGAAATGTTGGGGTGCAGGCAGTTGAGGTCCGGATGGGCAATCGATCCACGCGTTCTTCAGTACGTCGACTGGGTTGGCTTCGGTGGTATTCATCGCGTGGGCTACAGAGAAATAGATCGAGGTCTTATCACTGCATTAGTTGAGAGATGGAGACAGGAGACACACTCCTTCCATCTTCCTGTGGGGGAGGCGACAGTCACGCTGCGGGACGTCGCGATACTCACACGCCTTCCCATACATGGGAATGCGGTGACAGGGGGAGTGGTGGTTGACCCCGCAGGTTTAGTAGGTCGGGTTTTAGGGGTTCAGCCAGAGCCAAACGAGATCAGGGGCAGCGCGCTGAGGACCGGTTGGCTACGCGACACTTTTGGACATTTACCTCAGGACGCTGACGACGCCACAGTGCAGAGATACGCCCGAGCTTACTTGTTCCTGCTCATCTTGGGCGTGCTCTTTGGAAACAAGAGCGGAAGCCATCTTCAGATTATTTACCTGCAGCTGTTAGACATGACTTGGATGAGATCCGTGGATACAGTTGGGGTAGTGCTTGTTTGGCGATCTTGTATCGCCATCTGTGTAGAGCATCACAGCGTGGAGCACAGCTAATCGGAGGTCCTTTGGTTGTGCCACAGGTAAACCTCATCATTATCCTTAAGCCTAGTTTGATAATGACTTGACGTTATTTATGCTTCACCTTTATATTTTTATTTTTTAAACAACTATGGGCTTGGGAGCACATCCACGTAGGGAGACCAGGTAGGCATGTTGTACACCGTCCGGGGCAGCTGGACCAGGACGATCAGTACGCAGCGTACGATGCTCCCCCGCTCCCTGAACCCGATCAGGCATACGGTTGTAGGTTCGTAACATTACACTTGTGTTGCCGCATTTTGTTTTAATTAGCTAGTACAACTTCTTAAATAATTTGTTGCCACAGGTGGGTGGTTCTCAGGCTGACACATGCGCATACAGCAAGAGGTCTACTCTACTACCGTGACGCCATCGACCGACTCACGGATGAACAGGTGGAATCTTGCAATAAATTTGTAATCTTATGTTTACTCATATTGTTTATTGGCATTGCCCTAACCTATTTACGATATTTCCTTATTGCAGATGACATAGAATCCCTACTCTGCTGTGTTGGTCGAGGCCATGCCGGAACACTTGCTCGAGCATCGTGCTGAGTGGCTTGCCAGGACCACCATGATCTGTTTTGAGGTCGTGGAGAGTCACCTACTGGACCGAGTGTTGCGACAGTTCGGACTTCACCAACCTATCCCCATGCCCTGTGACACTAGTATCCGCCTCCACGGCATTGACCGTCGTGGAAAGTTGGAGACAAACTGGGCATAGGAGCATCATCAATTCATTGAGCTTTGGGACCAGCGGTTGGAGTCCGTCGTTGACGGTCACCTGTTTCAGGGTGTTATGGATCCGCGTGATCCTTATATGGTATGGTACAGGCAGATTACACGCCTTTTCATCAACCCTACCTACACGCCACCATCCACGCACCACCATCCAGCTTATGATGTTATCAGCGGACTTGTGAGTTTATTTCATTTTCTTGTTTTCCAAAACTATTTGAAATTCTATATCATATTACTAAGTCATGGATGATTACTGCAGGCGGGGGATATGGGTGCGATGGTTGATGCACTTTCAGATGCCTTAGCAGCCGTACCCACCAGAGCCCAGGTCGAGCGGGTGCGAGATATGGGCATACATAGCTTGCAGAGATATGGCCATGGCCATCTCGTCCACCCCAGGGACGATCATGACCCTAACTCCTTCCATTCAGAGTTCGACTTCGGACAGAGTAATGATGGAGGTCATACTTCAGGCTCTACACAGGCAGAGGATTACTTCATCCATAACACCGCTCCCGGCCACAGCCAGGATGACTCATCGTCTCGCCAGCTGACTCCTCCACCGTCCCGAGACCCATTCACCACCATTCAGCATTACACGAGGCATCCGAGGCATGTTCGTAGACGGACGGAGGACACACAGGATGGAGATCAGTTAACTCCAATACATGAGTCCGGATAGTATTAGTTAGTTGATCTTTTTGTGGTACTCAGATATTTAACAATGTTGTATATAACGCTTACATTATTAATACAAGAAATGTTTTCTAAATGACTCTCTGTACAATTTGAAGTTTATTTCCCTTATGTGTCCGAATTTGACTTTTGCTAGTGAAATTATATCTTTTATCGCCGTTATATATATCAAGCAGCATATATTTGGTCTCCTGCACTTAAAGTGTTGTTTCACGATGGTTATCATGCTGTTGGAGTTGTTTTCAGTGTTTGATGGTTGTCGGTGGTGGTGGAAAGGTTGGGGCTGGTGGTGGGAATGCTCTTGCGTTGTTTAGGGTGTTTTGCATTGCATAGGGGTGGTCGAGAGTGGCGGCCGGTGGTGGTGGGGGAGGTGGTTGATGGTGGGGCTGAGGCTGAGGCTGCTGGGTGAGGATGATGTGTAGGGGCAGCAGCAGATGGACAGAAACAACAATTGGTGCTGGTGATGCAGTCAAGCAGAAAACCGCTGCCTCAGGCAGCGTTTTAGAGCCCATATACATATTCCAGTATAATTTGGCAAAATATACTAGTATATTTTGCCAAAATACATACCAACAGGTCAACACCATAAAACGCTGCCTCAGACAGCGTTTTATGTCTTAATTTTTTTTTTAAAAAAAACTGGGGGTAAAACGCTGTCCGAGACAACGTTTCACCCCAAAAGCTTAGTTTGGGAAATACTTTTGCCACGAGACCAATTTGGTAAATAATTTTCAAATAAAGCTCAATTTGGGAAAAAATTCGTTTTAAGGAGACCAACTTTTGATGTTAAAGATACTTGCAGTTGGGGCACGGGGGCCGGCCTCCAGCAGCCCGTGGCTTTGCCAATCAGGACTAAAAGTTACGGAGTATTAATTACACTAAGGTTAATTCGTTAGTTGACAAAACAAACTAACAATAGGCCTCCTAATTAGATAAAGATCAAACTGCTCTTCTAATCAAGAGGAAAAAACAAAAAAGATTGAAAACTAGCAGCCCGCACAGTAATATCGAACGAATCCTTAATTCTTTTAATTAGACACGAAGTTTCCGTATCAACGAGATTTTATAAACAACTCAAGATGAAGAGTCAAAATGATGTTGACTTGTTATTTACACATAAACAAAACAAGAGGATTGTTTTTTCTTCTAATTTTTACATATATATGTATTAGTATATAACTAAACATGAACATTTACGTAGTAGAATGTAAAAAGAGAAAAAACCTGAAAGAGCGTTTAGGCCATTGAAGAAAGCCTCGAAGAAAGAGGAGTTCCCTTCTTTTGTTGAATTATTCTTCCCGTTTGCCTCCAATTCATTCTCCAGAAGAGGGTGGCTAACCATAATATTTTCATTCACTCTACCCTCCATTCCTTTTATCCAACCAAATAAAGGAACGAGGGACTTTCCAAGTAGAAAAAGATAGATATTATTAACATAAACTTTTTTGAGGTGTTCTCATTTCTTTTTTTGTTTTTTTTTTTTATCCAAGTCATGTATATCACTTTTTTTTTGGTTTTTTTTTTTTTTTTGTTTTTTTTTTTTTTGAACGGAGTCATGTTTATCACTTAGCATAGTTGTTAAAGGTCAAAGGTCTTGAAGAAGTAGTCAATACATGAAAACATATCTTACCTACATTAATACGGAGTTACTTTTATTGTTGCTCCTTATATTACACGCCTAAAATAATGGGAATTGATATAAACACGGTTGCATATGTAAAGCCAAAAGTAATTATATATTAACAAAATAAATTGGTATTTTAAAATTAACTCATGATCATATCATACATAGCTAAAAGAGAATTATTTGTAAAAAGGATCATATCACTTGAAAATTTTTGTTTTGTTTTGTTTTTTTTTTTTTTTTTTTTGACAAAAAGAAAAAGGAATTCCGTTAATAAAATATAGCCAAACGACACTTACATATAATTCCTAAGACATCAAGAATTTCAACACAAGTACACACCTTAAAACTAATACATCGTAGATTTGATTAACAATCGTCTTAATAATAAACTTCATTAGAATCAATTCAATCTGTGAGTTCGCATTGATTTGGCTTGAAATCCACTGATACGTAGTCGTTTGAGTGAAAATACTCATGTGGTCCTCCAGATTCTTATAGAGATTATGAAACCCTATATCTTCAATATTTGCCATACAAACATAAAAACAAAATAAACTCAAGAGAAAAATCATCATCCAAGAATGAGATTTATTTATTGAAAGCAATTAAAAAGTTTTTGGGGGCTTACCATTGGTAGAACACCAGTGAAAACCCCTACAAAGATTCACAACTGAGACCAAAAGGAAAGAGATGGTAGAGATGGAGAGAAAAGAGAGAACAGAGAAGGAAAACCTTCAAAAAAAATTGAAAAAACCTAGCAATGGAGGCTAGAAAAACCCTCTCAAGAGAGAAACCTTAAAGTAAAAAAAAAAAAAAATCTTCCAAGGAGAAAAACCTAGAGGGAACCTGTTTTTCTTCCACTTGAAAAATTGTAGTATGATTGATTAATATAATAATATAAAAACGGACAATAGAGATAGAGCCGTAGATAAGTATAACAAATTAATAAGTGTTTTGTATTACCATGATCACCTTTTGATATACTCGTATCTTTTACGGCACAATATTAATCGCATTATTATGCATTTGATCGGCAACAATAGCATGCAAGCTTGATTGTATTTTAGGATATGAACAAAACTTATATGGTAAGAATCATACGATTGTAATGGACATAATGCGTCAGTCCTATTTCAATACCGTTTGGCTTGTTGTACCATGCACTAGTTAACTTGCCAAAGAAGGACCATTTATCAACGGTTATTGTGGTCCTTCGCGAAAACAATTATTGGATGTTCGTAAAATGATACTTCGTGCCTATCTACGTATAGGAATAACAGCTGCCACTTTTTTTTTTTTTTTTTTTTTTTTTGACAAGATAAAGAGATGGATCTCATTAAATCAACATCTCATTTATGTAAGGATAAGAAAATCATTTCCATTAAACAACTCCTAGTGGGGATTTGATCGCAAGAGGTGAAAAGGGTCAAAACGTTCAAGTCATGAGACCAAAACCTTACCACTAGGCTAACTAAGCCTTGTTCAGTAAACAGACTTTGGTGGACCATAATTGGTTCTCTTTCAACTGACTACACTTCGGTGGTCAATAACTGGTTCCCTTCCCATACTTGTGCATTGCCTCGTGTTTCCTTGCATCAAGACGAAGTATAAGGACTATGTTTTGGATAAATTAATTAGATATTGATAAACGAATCTATATATTGATGATTAAATTAATTTAAATGAAGTTTATTAAGTTTAGCACCTCCACCTTGATGTTTTTATTAACTACAAGTTTAAAACTACATAAAATCAACGCCAACTAATAATACTAGTAATAACTTTCAATTGATCTCCATTCAGTTTCTCAGCAAACTCAATAATCATCGATTTTCATCAAACCTAATGCAGTAGCACTGTTTTTATCCATCAGCAGTACAGGCGCTGTACAGCAACAGTAATGTCTATCAGTTTCACTGTGATCAGCCTACGATAAAACATATTCTTAACTGCTGTAATTCGCATCCAGACTGAGTTAACTGCTGTAATTCACATCCTACGATAAAACATATTCTTAACTGCTGTAATTCGCATCCAGACTGAGGTTAACTGCTGTAATTCGCATCCTATGATAAAACATATTCTTTAACTGCTGTAATTTGCATCCAGACTGAGTTAACTGCATCTTTCTGGGTGTAGATTAGAGGTATCGCTGGGCAAATGAAGCACCCATATCATGTCACCATCAAAGTTTTAAAGCCAGTCAGATGGGCAGTAACATTACCAGTCATCATTCCATGCATTTACACTATTAGCCGATAAATGTAGAATCAGCAACAGTAATAACATTACTGTCGTAGCATAAAGTAGTATCAACAACAAACTAAAATCACTTTACACTGCAGAATCGGACACACCACATAACTGCGACATGACTTTCATCATCATTTTCCTCATCTCTTCTAGGTACTCCCGCTGTCTCCTCTCATTCTCTTCACGCTCCTTCTGCAGCCGCTCTTCCAATTGTCTCTCCATCTGTGCCTTGTAAGCTTCCAACTGTTGTTGATGCTGTGTACTCAGTTCCTGGCACCTCCTCTCATTTTCTTCTTGTTCCCTTTGTATCTGAGAGGACAATTGAGCAACAGATGGGCAGTAAGTGTTGGATGAGCTGCGAACCAGTCGGGAGCGCTTACCGTTACTGTAGTACATGTCTACACTGATTCCCAAACCCGGTACCGTCCCTCTCTTTTTACCACCGACCACATCCAAAAACATTTGATTCGGATCCTTCTGAACACCCTTCTCCTTACATTCCGCCACTGCCTTTAGGTAGGCTTCCTATTATATTAAAAACCACAATACAAGTGAAAAAAATTTAGATTCGAAAATGGCCAAAATGCTTATATCCTTCCCATTTTACATGTTTAATTAAATGAAGCAACTAACATCCATGACATGCCAAATATACTTAGCTATAATATTCTACGAATTAACGCCACATGAATACACTAAATATTGGGAGCATTTATGATAAAAAGGGGTCAAAATAGCCAAAATTGCTTTTTACCTTTCTCACTTTCCATGTTTTTAGCGAAAAGAATGAACTAACAACTATGACTAACCAAATATACTTAGTTATGAATTTCTATAACTTAATACCACATGAATATACATATAAAATAAACTAAGATTTAAGAGCATAAAAGATTAAAAAAAAAAAAAAAAAAGCCAAAATGACTTCTATCCTTCTCATTTTCCATGTTTTTAATCAAATGAATGAACTAACAACCATCACATGCAAAATATAGTTAGTTGAGTTTCTATGACTTGAAACATGAATATGCTAAGCTAATAAGTATAAGGAGCATATAGAACCAAAAAGGTTGTTTTTTTTTTTTTTTTTTTAAAAAAAAAAAAAAAAAAAGGAAAGGACAAAATGGCTTCCACCTATCCCATTATCCATATTTTTAGTCAAATGAATAAATTAATACCCATGGCATGCCAAATATACTTAGTTATGAGCTTCCATGACTTTAAACCACATGATTATGCAAAGTTACTAAGTTTTGGGAGCATATAGGACCAAAAAGGTTTAAATCCGGCCAAAATGGCTTCTATCTTTCCCATTTTCCATGTATTTAGCCAATTGAATGATCTTACACCACTTATGAGAGCATATAGGACCAAAATTGGACAATAATGGCTTTTACCCTCCATACTTTCCATGTTTTTAGCAAAATGAATGAATTAACACCCATAACATCTCCAACATGCTTAATTATGAGTTTTTATACTCGTAAATGAAAACCACATAAAAAGGGCAAATTACTAAGCTTTGTTGGCATTTAGGACCAAAAGGGGAAAAGTAAATGACCAAAATGGCTTCTACCTTCCCCATTCTCAATATTTTTAACCAAATGAATGAACTAACACCCACGACATGCCAAATATATTTTGTTATGAGTTTGTATGACTTGAAACCACATGAAAATGCAAAGTTACTCAGTTTTTAAGGCATATAGGACTTAAAAGGTCTAAAATGACATGTATCCTTCCTATTTTTCATGCTTTTAATCAAAAGAAAGAACTAACACCCGTGACATGTTATACATATATTTAGTTATGAGTTTTTAAGACTTGCAATCACATAAACATACCACACTACTAAGGTTTGGGAGCACGTAAGACCAAAGTAGAAATAAATGGATAAATGTATGAAACACGAAGTTAACTTAATTACCGTGATTCGCTTAGCTTTTGAACTGCATGGGACACTACCTTTGCCAGGCACTTCCTTAAAATGTGTTTTGAGGTATAGGTCTCCCGCATTAGGAAGTACGCCATTACTCTTGACAGCTTTGTAATTTAAAGCACTTCAAAGTTAATAAAAACAACAACAATGATACTATAAAATGAGTTATATCTATCTTGATCTTACCAGCCGCCTAGCATGCTCCTTAGCTGAAATAGAACCTTGGAAATGGGACAGTTCGATTGGATTAGATAGGGAACCGCCCCTCTGGTTCTTTTTAGCTTGCTCTGATTTTGCTTTGAATGTAGGATCTTCAAGGATTTTCATCCAACCTTCATGTACATGTTCCGCTAGCCATTTCGGCTTCTTACCATTGCACTTCTGAGTGACATAGTAAACCAGCTCCCTCAAGCGTTTTGCAGCTTTAATGGAGTAAACCCTCCTAACCTCAGCGTCTAACTCAGATTTCCATGTGAATTGACGCTGCAATGTCAAACCACATTCACACCTTCAAAGTTAAACAATAATGAAACTTTGATCATTTGTTCACAATAAGATAAAACATGCAATTAACCTCAAACAAGGTCCACCAATGTGCTTTTGTGACGTCATCAACCTCTGTGTAATTTCTATACGATTCTCGTAAGTATCCCTGAAATATTTCAGTAATGGACCGACTAACGCGGTTGTCATCAAACCTGACATAGAAGGAAAGGGAACAATTAGGGGTGCGTTATACAATTACAATCTTTAAATTACAAAAACATACACAAACCAATTTAAACCATACCAAAAGCCATCGGGGTCCAACTCCCTGGAATTGGGTGAGGATTCTCCTTGCTCGAACTGAGTCTCAGAAACTACGATTTCGGTAGCACCAGCATCCTGGGTCTCCTCTTCATCTAATGATACAATTAGGGGTGTGCTTTGCGCTGATACAGGCTGGGAACCGCTACGACCCCGTTTCTGACCGCCACCAAAACCTCGTGATCGGCTTAAAATATGTACGGTTTCGATAGCACCAGCATCCTGGGTCTCATCTTCATCTAATAGTTAGATGTCCTGTAAATTTTGCGCTGGTATAGGTTGGGAACCGCTACGACCCCGTTTCTTACTGCCACCAAAACCTCGTGATCGGCTTAACATTTGTACCTGTTACAGGGGTTAAAAAATTGAATGAACACCCAAATATGTTTGCTTGGTTTGTTTCCATAATCCACACAAACAAAAGGTTTTACAAATATCACAACAATTAAGAACTCAAGCGTAAAGAAAATAAAGGCATTCATCATATCTCAAAAACTAATACATCTATACATATCAAAACTAATGTCAAATTACACATAAAGTCATACAGATGAGCACTACACTCAACAAAACAAATCAAGATCATCATCCTCATCATCACCACTATCGCTTGAATCAAAACTAGACTCATCCTCTACATCATCCGAAAGGCCCCCCTCGACAACATCATTGTCACTCTGAGCTTCATCATCACCAATGTATTTCCAGTGCAACTAAATCAACAGGAGTGACCTAGCCTTCATCTTAAACACAGCTAGAGTGCAAAATACACTTGACATATTCGGTATGACAACACAAACGGATCGTACTTTGAGCATTTCTTCATATGGTTGATCTCAACAAGTTTGTATTGTTCATGAATGTTCACTTCATTTACAGAATCCATCCACTTGAATTTGAGCAACATTGTCATATACACTCCAATATTCTTCGTATGGTTGATCTCGAAATTGTCATATACACTCCAATTTGACCCCCACAGTGGGTATGAAGGAAAGTTTAGGCTTTTTATAAAAAAATGAAACAAAACTAATTCAACTAATAACTAATCCCAGCTATTTCAGTACTAAGACTACCCTATACTAGCACCCCTATAAAACCGATAATAAGATGAAACTAAACTTCAACCCAGAAAAATCACAATCTAATTTGATAATTCAATTCTAACATTAAAGGGTTCAACACATTAGCAACAAAATTTGATTGTATTATCACATCAATAATTTTAGGGAAGAAAGACATATTTGATTCAATTGTTGGTTATCATCTTTCATATAATCTTAGTAATTAGAACCAATACTTCAAATTTTCGAACCCTAAACTTACTACACCGACAATTAAATTAAATTAGATCAACGATACATCCTAGATTGTAAAATTCACAGGATGATTACAAATAGAAACAAGAAAATACCTCGGAAGCTGCTTCAATGGGGGATACAAGTATCAGAAATGGAGAACGTTGAGTTCGCTTCAATGAACTGAGGTTTTTTTTTTTTTTTTTTTTTTCTTATTCACAATCAGAGGCTCAGAGCAGTTCAATACTTCAATGGGTTGGAGCTCCCATTAAAAACCTTAACCCGGCCCAGAAAAAAATGGGCAGGTCCGTCTAGTAGTAATAAAATATGAGTACCTTAGCTATATACTTGTACAACTAAACTACTGTAACAACCATACATATGAACATATAATACATCAAAAATGAACATACGTTTTTTCTCCCTTCCTTATGTTTACTTCTTTCTCTTCTTCTTCCATACCTCCATTAATTTTTCTCTCTGTTTTCTTCTCCATTCAAAATTTTCTCTCTCTTTTTTTTCCCCCTTTCCTTATAAGTAAATTTTCTTTCTTACCTCACTTTCCCTCAATCTTTAATCTTCTTTTATGCTCCTACTTTGGATATTCTCCAACTCCTCACCATTGTAGCATTCTCCATCATCTTCGTCGCGATCTTCACCATTTTCTTTTTCCTTTGTTTTCTACATTATTATGGATTTGGTTGTTATTCAAAAGAGATCATCAATGCAAGTTAGTTTTTGTGTTGTTGATTTTTAATTAGTTTTTACTAGGTTAGATTTGGGCTGAAGTTGTAATTGATTTTTCTGATTTTTTAATTGGTGAATTTCAATTTAAGGAATTTGATGAATTTCAATTGACTTTTTGATGAATCTAGTGAATTAGACTATTTCAATTGAATTTTTGAATTTTTTATGAATATGAATAACATAATACTAAACAAGACACTAGGAATGACACGTGTCACTTCCTGGTGCTGTGTTTTCCCTCCAAAACACCCCTTCCCCTTTTAGGAAAAAAATATTTTATTTTTGGAATATTTTTATAATACAACTATAATAATATTATTCTAAATCTTATATATTATCTTTACATAAAATGTATTTCTTTTTATTTCGTATTCTTATTCTTCCATACAAATTTACCTAAAATAGTATTCCAACTCTTTTTTAATTATAGAAAAAGCGAGTCACTAATTTAGGTACAATATACTTTTATTAACGCTTGGACATGTTTTAGATAGAGTGCTAGATTAGTACCCGTGCGATGCACAAATTTAACCAAAAAATATTTCGTAAAGTTGCATATTATTAAAATTAAATTAGTTTTTAAATAAATAAGCAACTTGCTACAATAATAATATTTTATACTCTTTAATTCAATGGTAGTTAATTTACCAAAGATAAGGAAGTGTAACGCTTAAGTAAAAATGAAAACAAAAAATGGTGTAACAATTTTAAAAAGTTGAGTGAGTGATAACAATTATACTTTGTATGTGTAATGTTATTTTGTAAGATTAAGTTAAGATATTTCTAATATGAAGTATAAATTGAACTGATTTTTTTTTTGTAAGATTAATTTAAGATATTTCTAATATGAAGTATAAATTAAATTTTGTAAGATTAAGTTAACAATTATACTTTGTATGTGATATATTATTTGTAATTTTTATATTTACATATATCTTGTGCTAATAATCTTATTGTAGATTTTATTCTGTTGTTTGAGTAATATTTTCATGTTTATTAAAAAGCATTTATTAATAAGTCTTTAGTCATATAGTCACTAGATTGTATAGTTTTATTGGGAATAATATGCATCATTAATGTAATATATTGTATACTACTTTTAAATATTATAAACACAACTAATCAACAATAACTAGTGAGTAGCGCGGGCGTTGCCCCGGTTACTACTTTTATAGTTGTGCGACTACTAATTTATAAGAGCATCTAATAGTTTGTATGTAGTATGTGTCTTCAATACTTTGTAGTATAATATTATTTATTGTGCAATGTTAAAGCGTACTTAACAATTAGCCTGATGGTTATACAATAACTTTTCTTCTAAGAGGTCAAGTGTTCGAACCTTCTCATCCATATAACTTTTTCAATATAGTTGAGACAACATGGAGTATTGTTGGTTGTGTGGATAACGTGACATATTGAGGAGTTGAGTGAATGACGTGGCATATTGAGGAATTGAGTAAGTGATGTGGCAAAAGGGGGTCTACATGGCGCATAGACGTTCTTAGAAACGTCTTTTAATATATTAGTATAGATTTTTTTCCTCAATCGTAGTTTTGATAATTTTTGTCTTATTATTTTATTTTTCTATATGCGTTGCATTTGTTTATTCCACATGAGTTGCATCATTTTTGTATTATATCACAATTAATTATGGGAAAAAGATTATTACAAGTTTACAATCGTGCATCGCACGGGCACTAATCTAGTTAATATAATTAATGAGTTTTTGTGATGAATTCTTGAGGTGCTGCATCTTAATTTGTCTGTTATTATGAATTTCGATTTTTTTAATTAAGTTGCTAATATTTCTGTATAATTTTTGGAAAAAAAAATGAACACGGTGTACTTTAAAATTGAACATTTAGTACATTAAAAATGAACATTTAATCCATAAAAACTGAACAATTTTAATAATTTATTTTATCTTTATTTTCTGTTAATAATTATATACAATGAATTTGAATTTATATGAATATAAGAAAATCATGTTCATTTCTAATATACTAAATAAATGTTCATAATTTTTTTCACGTGTGCATTTTTTTTATACTAGATTTTCATTTTCTTTAATATGTTCATATATTTTTATGAAATATTCATTTTATTAGGTGTGGTCCAGCTATTTTATTATTGCATGATAAATGTTCACTTTTGATATCCTAATGTTCATAATTATTTTTGACATGTTCATTTTTTATTAATAAATGTTGTTTTTTTTTTTTTTTACATGCTCATAATTATTTTTACACTAAATGTTCATTTTTAAGGTCGTGACCTAGCAATTTTGTGGTTATCATGTTTATTTTTAATACTAAATTATCATTTTTTTAAACATGTTCACTTTTTAATTACTAAATGTTCATTTTTTTATGTGTTCATTTCCTTATTACTGAATGTTCATTTATTTTTACGTGTATTTTTTTTACTACATGTTCATTTTATAGACAGTGGTGCAGCTATTCTAGCTGCACTAGAGTGCAACTAAGACTTATTGTTCCACTACTCCGTAGTTAAAATCGAGGGAAAAAAGAAATCAAATTTGTCCATTATATCGAAACAAAGTGAGTATCATCTTTTCTTCATTTTATAAAATCGTAGAAAAATCTAATGAATCAATCTATCTACATAAATTGATTTCTTATGGACTATTTATAGAGAGTATAAATTAATAAAGTGTATAGATTTTTTTTTTTTTCCTTTTTCATCCATTATATTGTAAGTTTATACATGGCAAAAAGAATACAAGCTTCATGGATTATGACTTATGAGTTATGACAATTGAGATCAACAAAAATGTTACTCCTTCCGTTTTTTTTTTTTTAAATGTTACACTTATTAAATTGTCCATTTTTTAAGTGTTACACTTTTTTCTGTTTTTTTTTAAAAAAAAGTTTCCAATTGAAATATTATACTTGTCTCCTCCCATGATCCCCAATCAAATCTCTACTACATTTCTATAAAATATTAATCTCACTATCTTTTCTTATACCAAGTTAAAGCTCGAGCTATGTTCGGTTTATTCATTTTATACATGGTTGAATTATCTTTATGCATAATATGGAACCAGATTTTTCATTTTAAACATGGTTGAATTAGCTTTATGCATAATATGGAAAAAGAATTTTGTTTGATGATTTACTTTTTTATATTTTGTATAATGATTTACTTAGTCGATGGATTTTATCAAACTTAACAAACCTTTCGTCTTTTCTATGCAGTCAAAATTGAATGAATATAGGATGGTAAACGTTAAATACGTAGTAAGAATTTTCTATCTTATCGTTTACTCAATAAAACTAACTTCTAAAATAACTTCAATTTTTTTTAGCGGGAAAATTTTTAAGGAAAGGTTTTGCGTGAAATCGGACTCACCGTTAGTCCAATATGTCTTAGAATAATAATCTTAATATCTAACAATAATAATCTAATACCTGACATTAATATTGTAATACCAAACAATAATAATCTAATACCTGACATTACTAATTTAATGACTAACAATAATAATCTTGAAAGGAATGGTGTCCTTCGAACAAGTGTATTATTCCGATAGAGGGTTCAGAATTATTAGAAAGCTAATTCTTCAGTGAGGTCAAGTAATCGGAATGCCTAGGTGGAGACTGCTTCCGATCAATAATATTAATGTATAATTAATATTACAGCTTAATCTTGACCGAACCCTTCGGGTCACACCCAATCGAGTAACCAATCCGAGTCGACGAATCAATCCGAAGGATTAGATGAGTTATTAGAGTATTACAAACAAAGATGTCGGATATCGAGCTTAGAGCGTCGAGATCGAACGTTGTAAGTCAAGTCGAATTCAGAATTCGACGAGACGAGAAATCAAGCAAGTGACAAGTTCGAGCAAAGCGTAGCCTCACATTTGCCTAGCAATGCGAGTCCTAGGCTAGCTCAAGATGCCATGCACATCACTAGGCATACCGTAAGCAAGCTAAACAAGGCTGGTGTATAGAGGCGCAAGCATACTAGCAACTAGTGCATGCTAGCGTGCTAGTGTGCTGAGCCACGCACCTAGCCGCACCATCACTAGCTCAAGCACAGTAGTAGCGCGCTATGCGTGCTGTGTTATGGCGATGTGTGCTAGCATAGCAGCTTCACGCATCACATTCTCTCGCACACAGCCACGCATCGCATCGTAGCGTGCTATGCGTTGTGGCTGTGTATGCTTGCGTGCTAGGCATCGCAGCATGCTACGTGATGAGGCTAAGCGTGCTTGTGTGCTAGGCAGCGCCTAGCATACGCTACACAATAGCAGCAGCAGCCCGCATTGTATGTGTGGCTTGCTGGCTGCGTGCATGTGTATGCGGGCTAGCTAGCCAGCCCAGCCAAGGTGCCAGGCACCAGCTAGGCATTGGCAGCTTGGCTGCCAGCTATGCGTGGGCTGCTCTTGAGTCTTGGTGGGGCTGATGCTTGGTGGCCTTGCTTGGGGAGCAACGAGATTTTTGGTCCCCCCCCTTAGTGGTCCTCACCTACCTTTGCTCACCTCTTGACACTTGTCATTTGTTAATTCACTTGCATTTCAATTTGATTTTTGTATTAAAAATAAATTGGATAAATTGCATTTTACCAACTCTCCCACATGGATGGGAGATTGAAGTTCAAGAGCTCTCTTCTTATAAATACCCATTATTTGGGCTTGGGAAGGGACACTTGAGTTGAACTCAATGAGGCATCTCCCTTTAGGTGAGAAAACCTCTAAGTT